GAGGGGGAGGAGGAGGAGGGCACAGATGTGTTCAATCTGCGATTTAAAACCAAATCTTTCCTGGAAGTCGTTTCATCTTTTACATGTCTACTTCCGTGTTTCAGTTTTGGGAATGTATTTACAAATATCCGTGATCCTTTTCTAGTACGTTCTTTCCTCTTGTGATGGGTTTATTTTCTGAACTGTTTTAGGTGCCTGGCCGAGAGGGCTGGAGACGTTGCGTTCTTGAAGGACTCCACCGTCCTGCAGAACACGGAAGGTAGGTGAAGCGCTTGCTCGCGCTTTCAAAGCAGAGCCTTTGTTCAGCTTCACCGAGAGTCCCTGTCTTCGGATGGGCCCTTGGAGGAGGCCTAGCCGCCCTCTGCAGACTCTGGATTGAAGTCCGGAATCTTCACCTTGGGAGGCAGCATGGTAACACCTATAGGTGCCACAGTGGTTTTGAAGCTGAATTCAGTCTCTCTCTCTCCCTCCCTTCTTCCCTTCCCTCCCTCCCTCTCTCTCTCTCTCTCTCTCTCTCTCTCTCTCTCTCTCTCTCACACCCCTTGGCTTTGTCTGGTCACATGCAAAAGTCTGTCATTTGCTTGAACCAGATCACATGTGCCTTGAGGAAACAACGGATGACACTAAAAAACAGAATGATGCAAACAAAATTCCCCTTTTGAGAGAAGGAAGTGTGGGCTTCGTCCAGCCCGCTTTGAGCCCTGCTCTCCCTCCCATTCCGCTCCGTCTCCTCCAGTCACCCTGTGGCTCTGAGGGTCTGGAGGGATCTCAGCATTGCACAGAGGAAGGAAGAGGCAGGCGCAGTGGCTTTGTAAAGAGAGAGCAGGCGGGGGGAGAGAGAGACACGGGGACACCCGGACCGGGGCCGCGATTGGCGCACGGTCGAGCCTGTGCGTCCACACTCAGAACTGACAATGGGCAGTCGACGTGGTCTCTGGGGGTCAGCTGGGCATCCAGTTCAATTCTCCGTTCCTCTGGACTTTCCACGGGCATTGGATCAGACTGGCTTAGCTAACCCGTGGAAGTCCCGACCCTTCCTCTGGTCACAGTAAGAGCATCTGACCGTGAAAGCAGATGGAAAGTTCTCGAACATAAACCAGCTACAGGCTGAGATGCCACATTTGAAAACCTGAAACTGGAAATGTCCCAGAATGACGTGATGCTTGGGAAACCCCACCCCAGCCACACGTGATGAGCAGAGCCCCAGTGCAGACCCACTAAAAATACCACACAAAATTAGCTGCATTATGAGCGTGTAATGTGCACATGAGACAATGGTGAATTTCAGGTTCAGAGTTGGGACCCCTCCCTGATCTTTAATGAATATGCAAATATCCAGAAATTTGAAAAAAAGAAAAAAATCCAATATCCAAAACACTTCTGGTTCCAACATTTTGGGTAAAGGATATTCAGTCTGTTTTCTTTTTCTAGAACTCACTAGAAATATGGCACAGATAAATGGTTTTCTTAAAAAATAAATCCAAAAACTGCTGGGCATGGTGTTGTACACCTGTAATCTGAGCACTCAGGGGGCTGAGGCAGGAGGATGCTTGCTAAGTGTGAAGCCAACCTGGGCTACATAGTGAGTTCGAGGCCAGCAGAAACAGCATAGCGAAACCCTGCCTCAAAAAATAAAGAACTTAAACAGAACGCCTTTTTTGAGATACAATTTACATGCTATAAAACCCACCTGATCCACCTAGTTGAGGTGTGTTACTCAGTGGTCTCCAGCAGATGCAGAGTTGTGTGCCCATCAGCAGACCCCCAGAACACCGGCGTAGTCCTATCAGCAGTCAGCCTGCCGCCTGCCACTCCTGGAGCACCGGGACTGGCATAACTGGTGGTCGTTTATGCCCGGCTTTCATCTCGCGGCCTTGTGTTCCCGAAGTCTGTTCATGCGTGACTGGCACCCCCTCTTCTTGCTGAATGACAAGCCCGCCCAAAGAGGCCCTTTGGCTGAGCAGGGCGGTTGCAGCTGATGCCTCCGTCTTTCTCTCCCAGGAAAGAGCCCCGAATCCTGGGCCAGGGACCTGAAGCTGGCGGACTTCCAGCTGCTCTGCCTCGATGGCACCCGGAAACCTGTGACCGAGGCTCGCAGCTGCCACCTGGCCAAGGCCCCAAACCACGCTGTGGTGTCTCGGAAAGAGAAGGCAGAACTCCTCAAACAGGTGCTGCTGGACCAACAGGTACGGACCCAGGGCCGCTCTCTGCCGGCTGCGGAGGCTCCTGACGGGGCCATTGTGACGCCGCCGGCCGTGGGGCCACCCGAGCCTCGGTGAGGACCACAGGGGCTCTCGGCCCGGCTTTCTGGGGCTGACATGGCCTCTGCCCTGAGTCACCTCCGTCCTGTGTCCTCGCGACTCGGGGAAACTCCCGAAGTCCCCTGAAAATCTGGGATTCTGCACTAGCACCCCGGGTTACTCTGACAGCATCACGACCCGAGGTGTCACCGTGGCCCAGGGGTGGAGAAGGAACTGTGGCTTCGCGGTCAATGAGGAGGAGGCTTCCTGAGGGCAGGCCCTTAGGTGCCCGGGGACCCGTCCTGGGGAGCAGACTCAGACATCCTCAGCTGTGAGAGGTTCTTGGGACGAGGTCCCCCAGTGAGAGGGAAGGCACAGTGGTGGGCAGGGAGGACTCAGCCCAGATCCTGGAAGCCTCCGGAGCTCGGGTCCCCTGGGCTGGCAGGATGGAGGAGGTGGCCTTGGGCTCCCCGTCCATGCACGCGCCTGTCCTCCTGGGTGTCCTGCTTACTCTCCGCCATTCCACCCAGGCTCGATTTGGAAGAAGCGGATCCAGGTGCCCGGGAGAGTTTTGCCTGTTCCAGTCTGAAACCAAAAACCTTCTGTTCAACGACAACACGGAGTGCCTGGCCACACTGCGCGGCAGACCCTCCTATGAGGAGTACCTGGGCCGGGAGTACGTCACGGCCACCGCGAACGTGAAGCGCTGCTCCACCTCCGGTACGCGGGCCCTGGGGAGCCGCGATGGGCGCAGGGCATCGCCGATGCTCAAAAAGCCAGGGAGATGCACAGACAATAATTTAACCCTTGGAAATATTTAGCAGACGTCCCCGAGTGCCACTGGGCTTCAGGGGCGGTTCTCCGCTGTGAGCACTCACTGAGCCACCCCGATTCCCACTCCCGTCCCCCATCCAGGGCAGCGGAGGCCCCAGGGACGCTGTGTCCAGGCCCAGGCCTCCTCTTCTCCCTGTTCCCGGCTCAGGATGACCTGCCCGAGGGGACGCTTGGCGATGCCCGGCGACATTCTTGGTTACCATAATGTGTAGGAGGCGCTGCTGGTGTCAGGGTGCGGAGGCCAGGATGCTTTCTAAGGAGCGCACGGACAGTCGTCCCCCGGCCCCCCAAAAGAATTATGATCAGGCTCCAAATGTCCAGGGTGCCAAGGTGACAGCCATGGTTCAGGTCACTGGCACCCAGAAGAACGGCATTGGTGGGGTGATCTTGGGGGACACTGGATCACAGGGCTGGGTGTGTCGGTGCCGCTGCCCCTGGCGCTCAGCACAGGGCCTCACGCAGCAGGTGCTCGGCAAGCCTTGGGCGCAGGAAGTCGGGGCAGCTATGTCCTGTGGACGGAGAGTGCAGCAGCTGCGTCTCCTGGAGATGGGCGTGGGTGGTTCTGCCCCTCAGGCCAGCGCAGGGGATCCCTGGCTCGGTCAGAACAGAGGTGCCTGTGTTCTTGGGGCACTGCAGGGTTAGGAGAACAGAGAGTAGGGACCGTGTGGGAGGCAGCACTGACTCACAGTTTGGGGAGAAGGGCCAAGAAAATGGGTTGAAGTGCTCTCCTGGATTTACTAATGTGAAAATGGACTTTAAAAAAACTCCATTCCTTGCTGGGTGTGGTGGTGCACGCCTGTGATCTTGGCACTTGGGAGGCTGAGGTAGGAGGATCGCTGCAAGTTTGAGGCCAGACAGAGCTACAGAGTGAGTTCAAGGCCAGCCTGGATTACACAGCGAGACCCTGTCTCAAACAAAACCAAACAAGTCGGGCGTGGTGGTGCACGCCTGTAATCCCAGCACTCGGGAGTCTGAGGCAGGAGGTTTGCTGTGAGTTCGAGATCAGCCTGGGCTACACAGTGAGTTCCAGGTCAGTCTCAACTACATAGTGAGACCCTGTCTCAAAAAACAAAAAAAAAAAACAACCCCCCAAAAAACCAAAAAACCAAAACCAATCAGAGCACTCTCTGAACTCCTTCTGTGTTGTCCACAGCTCTCCTGGAAGCCTGCACTTTCCTCAGCCAGTGAACCCCAAGGAGACACCCCTGTCTCCAGCGTCCCCTCGCTGTCCCCTCTGCCAAGCCCCTCAGCCCCAATCCGATCGGATCCAGTGCTGGGATCACATCTTCCTTGCCCGGGATGAGGGTCCAGTCCCTCTGCTTTCATCGCTCCCTGCTGTTGCTTTAGGAAGAAATATACTTTGTGACTGAAATGGGCAACGTGTGCTTCTCAGTCCTGCTCGTCTCTGGACAGTTGTGCTGAAATCATGCTTCTGGCCCGATGTAGCAGTGGGTCCTTTCCCTCGGGTTCCGGTCCAGTGTTTCCTTTCTCCGGGTCCTGGGCCCGAGGCCCCATGGCCTGGCTTTGGGGGCGACCAGGCAGCGACTTCCCCACAGGCAGCCGTCTTGTTCACGCGCGTGTGTACCTGTGTGTGTGCCACGTGTGTGTGCTCGTGGCGGCTTCCCTGCACGTGTGCACATGCGAGTGTGCAGATGTGTGTCCTCCCACGGCGTGGCGGGCTGGGAAGAGCGGGCTCAGGAAGGAGCCCAGGGAGGAGGGGGAGGAGGAGCAGGATTGTCCGCTGCCGAGGCGGGCGGCATCGGGGCGGCATCGACACAGCGCGGCACAGCGCGGCCGCTCCAGACCAGTCATCCGCACCTTGTCCTCCGCTCTCAGGCACAGCCGGAGCCGACCGCTCTCGCATCCCTCCTTGGTGCTCTTACCCCGCTGCAGTTTGCCTCGTGGGCTGGCCCTGCAGCAGCTGTGCAGCAGGACGCCTCACCCTCCCAGGACCGAGGGACCTCTGAGCTCCCGGGCCCTCTGCGGCTGCCGGTCCTGGGGACCCGTGTACAGCAGAGAGCAGGGACCCCACCGAGGCGGGAGAGGAAGGGGGTGCAGCGGGAGCGGGAGGACAGCTCCCCGGAGGGTCCCCAGGATGGCAGGACGGGGCGGGGCTGTGGCGGTGGATCACAGGCATGTGCCACCACGCCCCATGCCAGCTCAGGTTTTATTTATGGTCACGTCCTCCAGGAGGACCCAGGGCCTTGCTTCTGGCACAGTCCCTACTCTGGGGCCTGTTCTGTCTCTCTACCCCTGCAGGACCTCAGGGCCCTCCGGTCCCGGATGGGTTGCAGTGGCCCTGCCTTCCTCCCTAAAGCTCCCTGGGACTCTGAGGACAGTCTCTCGGAAGGTCCCTCTGTCCTGGTTGGAAAATGACCCCTATGGATTCACAAACTCAAGCTGACCTTCTGTTGTCAGTTCTTCGCCTTCAGAAACCCAAAATGACAGGGGAAAAAAAAATCAAATTGAGCACACACCTGTAATCCCAGCACCCAGGAGGCTGAGGCAGGAGGGTCGCTACCAGTTTGAGGCCACCCTGGGCTACATAGTGGGTTCAAGGCCAGACTGGACTACAGACCTAGACCTTGTTTCAAAAAACAAATCATAAAACAAAACAAACCCCAAAGACACAATGCTTGCTTGGTCTGTGGTTCTGTTTCAGGCTCCTGTCTGAAGGGTTGGATTTTCTAGGGCTTAGTTGTGTTACTTTAACTGCACAGCACAAGAACAAGCGAGCAAGTGGCAACGTCCCTGAGGGTCCTCTGCTTCCTTCTTGTTGAGTAGAGAGGGGCCCAAGGGCAGTGTTTCCTGGCCACACACCAACATTTCAAAAGACAGAACCTCAGGGCGGGTATCTGTGTTCCTGTCTCCCCACCAGGTAGGGGAAGGGGATGGGCCAGGTGGACTCAGGGGGCTGCCTCTGCAGACCCCTTCCCCACATGGCCCCTTCTGGCCCACCTTCTGCCCATGCTTTGGTACCGCATCACAGAGCTGGCCCTGGCCTCCTGGTCTCTGAGCCTGGCCTCCCTCGAGAGGGTCAGGCCTCCCTCACCTTCCCTCCAGGGAGTCAGCGTGGCTCCCTAGGGAGGCGCCTTGCCAACAGGTTCCCCACCTGGGATGGAGCAGCATGGTCGCAGTCGTGCAGGAGATGCAGGCGATGCAGGCGCCTGGTCTGGGCCAGTCAGAGGTGGCCCTGCATTTGCCACATCCTGGGAGTGCCCTTTCCTGGAGGGAAGCCCCCTTTCCAGTGTGGCCTGCTGGGCTGTGAGGCTGGATTACACACACACACACACACACACACACACGTACATGCATGCACACATGCCCTGTGACCTCACTTGTGATGCCAGCTTGACTGGAGTGGGAGGTGCCTACAGATGGGTGCATCCTGGTGTCTGCGGGTGGTGGACTTGTGGGCTCCAAACAGGAGGGCAGGCCTCTGGTGACCTGACTGGACCAGGCAGAGACTGGGGAGCCCTGGGGCCTGCGGCCAATATCCGATCCCCTAAATAGCCAGCCCCACTACAGATGCCTAGGCCTTGGCCTGGTGGAGGAGGGCTCCCCGTGGACACTGAGCCCTGTGCTGCAGCCAGGTCCAGAGAAAGACTCGCTGGTGTGGTCCCAGAAACCTACTGGCCATTGTCCTCTCTGGAAATGTGGGCAGAGCGAGTCACTTTAGAATGACTGTGGGCCCTGAGGAGCTCCAGAGACAGCAGCGGCTGGAGGACTTTGGGGTGATCGGAGGCTACCTCAGAGGGCGCCAGAGAGGCAGCAGGCGTTCCTGGGGGACTGCGGAGATGCCAAGGGGACTCAGGCTGAGCTGTGGAGGAGTTGATGGGGCACCCAGGAAGGCCCAGCGCTGTCACGGTAATGGGCAGGGGCCACTGGCACTCAAAGGCTGGAGCCACTAACAGCGGGGGGGCTGCACTTCGCCCCTCTGTGATTCCCATCTTAATTGGGCAAAAGAACCCCCAGCTGATTGGTGACAATGGCACAGATGCTTTGTCTGGCTTCTTCCTGTCCATGTCACGCTGAGGAGATGTAAGGCACAGGTCAGACTGCATCTGTTTCCATATAGATATTCACCTGACCTAGAGCCCTCCCCCTCCCTCCCC